TCAGCACTCTGGGGTGGAGATCATCCGGACCAGATGATTTAAATACATCCAGTCCCTCCAGAAGTTCCCTGACTAGATCCTTACTGACCATCGGCCTAGGTGCGCCTCCCCTGGGGCCTGAGGGGGGTCTGGTGGGGGGGGCTGATCTGGTCCCTGCTCAGGAAAATGGAGGCAAAGAAGTGGTTAAATAGGTTAGCTTTGTCGTCTGGTGTGACGACCAGATTTCCTAGTGTGTCTTGCAGGGGCCCCACGTTACCCGGTACCTTCTTTTTGCCCCCTATGTATTTAAAAAAGGACTTCTTGTTGTCCTTGATCTGGGAAGCTAGTCCCAGTCCCATCTCCACCCTGGCCTTCCTGACCCCCCCTGCATCCCCGAGCAACCGCAGCGTAGTCCTTCCTGGGGATGGCCCTTCCCTGCCGTTGGGTGTGCGCCTCCCTTTTAGCTAGGAGACATTCCCGTTTGCTTTTGGTGAGCCATGGGGGCCTTTGTGCCCTCCTGCTCCCTTTGATCCATGTTGGGATTACCTCCCTTTGGGCTTGGAGGATTGTCTCCTTAAGAAGCGACCACTCTCCTTGGACACCCAACTCCCCTCCCCTCCGGGACCTCAGTGCCTCCCTGACTATTCTCCTTAGCTCTTTGAAGTCGCCCTCCTGAAATCTAGGGCTGCTGCCTTGCTGCAGGCCTTTGCCACCTTGTGCTGGATGGTGAATCCCAGCAGGTGATGATCACTGTCGCCCAGGTGGTTGAGCCCCCGCAGCCCCCGCACCAGGTCGCCACCCGTGGCCAGCACCAGGTCCAACAAAGATGCAGGTCATCCCTATGAGGAAAATGCACTCTTTTATTGTACCAGCAAGTATTACACTGGCACTACATACTCTGAATGGACACAGGACCTACATGTGGCAAATGTATGCATTTAGTAATCACTATTTTAACCGAGCCGTGTGTTACAGCCACCAACGAAGTAAATAATAACGAGGAATGCTGATCGCCACAGGCTTCAGAAATTGAAACTCTCCTGAGTGACAGTGAGATCCCTTTCCTTTAAAGCTGAACTGCAATGATGAGAAATGAGAAAGCAAACAGGAACCGATGATGCTGTTCAGTGGACTGATCTGAAAGCAAAAGCAGTCATTAAAGGTACCGGATGAACTGGAGTATTTTCAGCACGGCACGTGGTAAGGTAGCTTCTTGAGTCCTAAGTAAAAACTTTCGATGCAGCCGGGGGAAGTAGCAACCGACTGGATCGTGAGAGATGGGCAGGATCTGAACCGGTGGCCTCCATACAGTTCTGTGAGGCAGGCTCCCTTCTGGCTTCTGGTTACTGCTCTGAATTAGCAGTAAGAGATGCAGGAGGCAGGAGCCATACAGGAGCGAGGTTGCTATGCCATACGTTAATTGGCCAGCATTACATGCTCAGGCTGCATGGTTTCAAAGATAGCTACTTGGCCTCTGCCTACATCCTCAACCTATCCCCTGGGCCTAGGTCTTTCCTGAAGCCTGACTCCCATTATCCAGTTCTCTGCCTCCTATCATTACTGGCCATTACATAATGATTGCTTGGGGAAGCATGGTTGAAAACTAGCTGGGAAAACCCTCCACTTGCAACTACCTTGTTCATGTTCCAGTTGTGGCCCCAAACACAGCAGTCTTTGGTGCAGGGGGGCTGGACCCAATGATCTGTAAGGTCCCTTCCAGCCCTTACCATCTATGAAACTATGAAGAGCAACCTCGGAGGGACTCTCACGTGCGCTGGCTGGTACTCTGAAGTGCCTGCTATAACTGAAAGAGCTGCCTATCGTTTTGGCCCCTTTCCCCTTGTTACGCCACGAACTAGGTCACGTCACTCTTTGTACTTTCTATTGTGATTGCGTCTCATGCTTGCACAAGGCTGTGAAGTGCAATCGGACCCATCTGAAAGCTGCTGTTTGATTAGCTGCCACTGGGATGCCTAAGGAGGAAGCCTTTCTAGGGCAAAAGCTCTCCTAAGCTTTCAGGAGCTCTGATCTAGCAGCACAAATGTTGCCCTTGAGGTTGCCCTCGTGTTAAACTCTATGGATTTTTTTTTCTTCTAAATTCTCGGGAGAAATTTCCAAACCCGAGGGAGGTGTGAGTAAGGCACGTGAGCACTGGTGAGCCCAGCGTATGATTCTGAAAGCATGACCCTGCCTTGAGAGAGCAATCTTGTTTTCAGCTGTGCTCTCAGAAACAGGCTGTGTGTGCCAGCATCTACAGCAGCTGGATGATCCAATAAAAACCATCTTCATTTCCAGAGTTTTGCTGCTAGATTTCAGATCAGATGAAAGCAGTCCTCCCTCCTTTACAGAGTCACCCCTAGAGTCTGACATTTCTTTGGGTCAGAATTTCACAAACTGTTACTACTTACTTACCTTGCCTATGCGTTTGCCCTCTCCCCCTTACCACAGCATCTCTAAACCCTTCATAATCTTGAATGTACCTGTCCTCATTATAACATCTGTTACTATCTTCTGCTCTGCTCAGGCAGAGAGAGGCTCATGGACTTGGTTGGGCTCCCATCGGAAAGCGTATCGCAGAAAAGGGGGTTGAATTAATGTCTCCTAAATCTTCAGTTAATTGCCACATCTTTTGACCTTTATGGCAATGCCAGGCAGATCCAGTATGGTAGGCACTGTATCTATATGCATTCATACGGGAAGAAGCAGAACTAGGCATCAAGATGTTGCAATCTCAATCGACAAGGCAGAAAAAGGAAGGACTGTTATTCCCATTTTACAGACGGTTAGTTGAGGCACACAGAGGGTGATATGTGCTGTCCACGGGCATGTGATAGAGCTGGGACCTGAATCCTCTGCCACCCTGTCATCCTTCTCCCAGCCGTGCATTGGAATCCCCTGGCAGTGGGTGGAAACATGGAATAGTCTCATATTTCCAGCACATAAAAACCCACTGTCTCCATTATCCATGCAGATACACAACAAACCCTGGGAGAAAGTCAGCATAGCCACATTTACCATGTACCAGTTATCTGAACTCCTGCAGTTACGTCCTATATCGATCACAGGACAGCTCTTGATAAATACCAACCAGTACACTGCTTCTGTTCGAGAGCAGAAACATACATGCATGCTCCCGTAGCTCACCAACCGGACTGGTGTACCAAGAAGGGGCATCACCACGTGAATGCAGTTGAGCACTGTAGTGTTCACCTTCCATCCCAAAATCTGGAAATGACTTGCAGTCAAGGTGTAGCCATGACCCTTGCTTTCCCACTCCACCCATCCTCCCCGCATATGCTGTCCCTGTGGTCTAATAGGAAATGTGACACAAAACTTACGGCTTTCAGGATCCCCACAGCATCCTGCGGGAGCCATGACGGGTAGACGACTTCCTCATTCAGAATGGCTTCAAAGAGGTCATCTTCATTCTCCGCTTCGAACGGGGCATGGCCACAGAGCATCTCATAGAGCAGCACCCCCATGGCCCACCAGTCCACGTCAGGACCATACAGCATCTCCTGCAAGATCTAAAAGGGGGAGAAAAGGGGAATAAACATTATTCCTTGAATTGAACTGTTTATTTTCCAAGTGGGGAAGAAGATAGTGAAATGTTAACATAAACTGAAGGCATCCTTGCCTGAGAGCTAATGGCGCTCTCTGATGGGTTGTGATCCAGCAGAAAATGCTCTGTTTTAAAGAAGGAATCAGAACTCGTGGCAGAGGTGATCTCTTTTATTAGACCAACTAGATGTTTGCCAAAAAAAAAAAAATCTTTAATGGCAAGCTTTCAGGCACAAACGGCCTTCTTCAGGCATAGGAGAAAAGACTGTACAAGTTCTCTTGGTTAGACATGAAAATTTATATTACTACATAGGAAATATGACTACATATTGCTTACCACCAAACAACTTTGAGGTCAACAGACTATTCCAACTTTTCTCTGAGCCAAATTTGTTCCAAACAGGAGATTTCATTACACCTTCAACTCTATGAAATATGAACTTTCATGTTTACCTAGGAGAACTTGTACAATACTTTTCTCCTATGCCTGAAGAAGGGTGTTTGTGCCCAAAAGCTTGCAATTAAAGACATTTTTGGTTTGCAAACATCTTCTTGGGCTAATAAAAGATCTCACCTCTGCCACGAGTTTGCCTCTAGACCAATACGGCTACAACCCGGATACCTGTTCTACAGACGGCTCTGCAGAACAATAGAAGGACCAAACCAATAGTACCTACCAAAACGCTGGGCACAGGAATAAAATCCAATAAACATCAGGCCTGCCTAAGGGGCCTTTTAAAAACATGTGCTGAGCAAGAGACAATCAGGGGTGGAAGGGAATTTCAGTCAAATGGTTCTTAGTGAGAGGAGTGGTGGCATCCGCTCTGTGGTCTCCTCTTGTTGCCATCAGCACAGTTTTGAAGGAAAAATTTCCGGCTAAGGGAAGGGGTACATGCGTGTAGGGGGTGAGGGAGAGGAGGAAAGAGGGAGTGGGGGCGGAGTAACATTGACCACAAGGAACAAATCTGGGAGCAGCAGAGCTGCACTCAGTGCAGCTGGTGGGAGCTGCATGGGAAGGTGCTCCTTAAAGGGGTGTGCTCATTTAAAAATAAGATAGATGAACGATGGGGGTGAAGTGGAAAGAGGCCAGCAAGAGCAGCGGAGGGGGGGGAAGGTGGGATTTTGCAGCCTTGGGACAGTAGTCACTTTCTGTGCTCAGCATTTTGGCAGGTAGTTTCATCCTTCCATTTTTCAAGGTCTATTTCCACCCCCCGACAGCAAGTGGAGTTGCTTGATTTTCACTAACTGGAGGGGCAGTAAGTGTGAGTGCACCTCTGGGACCAAGCGTGCCATCAGCCAGCCCAGTCAGGTGCAGGCCCAGTAAGCAGAGAGAGGTCACTGGACTGCTGCCACTTGGAGCTAAGTGGGTTTTCTTTTGGATGAAGAAGGGCAGTAGCATCACTAGGGGTGGGCGAGCAGGTGCCAGCCCTGGGCGCTGACTTAAAGGGGGCACAAGAATGGCAGCCCTAACCACTGCTAGCCCTGTTGCAGCCACCGCCCTGGGTGCAAAAACTGCCTGGCATGCCCTTGGGGAAGGTTCCCCTGCACATACCTCGGGAGCGATGTAGTCTGGCGTGCCGCAAAATGTCCCTGTGGTAATTCCATTGCAAATGCCCTCTTTGCACATTCCAAAATCTGCCAGCTTGCAGTGACCCTCGTGATCCAACAGCACGTTATCGAGCTTCAGATCCCTGCAACAGCAAGCAACACGACTTATTTTAACTGCGGTGCTGTACACGCCCAAATGCAGATGCAATCCCAGCTCTCCAGAGCTGGAAATAAAATCTGCCTAAATGTACTGCTAGACCTGATGGCCTAGGGCTTGACATCTGCTGGAAATGCAAACCTGTATGTGTATGTGTGAATCTGACTTCTGTGGAAGGGAGGGATGG